TATTCCAAGATATGCTGGGCAATTGCATCCCATTGAATCTATTCTTATCGCCACCACAGAGGTGAAGTTAAATAAATGTCTTGGTTTATTAGATTTCTTGTTCAAATACATTTTAGGTTTGAATAGGGAGCACAGACCATGCTTCCTATTAAAATACCAGGCTGTAAATGTTAGTGACAGTCCTGTAAATGGATATCCAAGAAGTTCTTTGCAATAATGGCACATTTCTGATTGTGAATGTGGCAAGCAGCCCTGTAGAAAGGGGTGATAAAAGATTTGAAGCAGAATGTAGTTATGTGCTACTTAACTGAAACAAAACCAAAATCTACCATCAGAATTCCCCACCACAGACAACATGCACTTAAAATAGGGCTTGACTAGAAAAGAAGAACCAAGCAAAGAAAGTCGCTTTGATGACATTTGATGACACAAAGAAAATGGTGTCAACTGTCTGGACTCCTGTTTGAAGCAGAACTTATGGAGCTTCGTGAACAAGTTGCTATTAATTCTAAAGTCCATCTCTAATTTATTGGGAGGCTGAAAGCAGTGGAAGGAAGAGAAACTTTGGGGGCAGACTATCACGAGTTTGCTTCCGAGATCTAGGGCTTAGTAGCTGAGGAATTTGTGGTGTTATCAGCCGCATGTGATACACATCACCTCTAAGTAAAAATAATAGTTAATATCTCTTGAGTGCACACTCTGTGCCAGTACTTATCTAGCTTCTTTATATGTATTAATCCATTTAATTCTCAATGTATGAAAGAGGCTATAATGATCTCCACTATACTAAGCAGTGGCAAGCTTCAGTAACTTGCCTGCGAATACAAACTTGGTAAGTGGCTGAGTGGGGAGGCAGAAAGTAAGTAGTAGATAGTAAGAAGTTAAAAATATGTAGTGGGATATTGAACAATGAGCAGGACTCTAGCTTAGAGATGGTCCATGAACCCAGAAGCAACTCTTTTTTGCAATACAACACCATTGACTAGGATGTGTTAAAAAATGCATGGCACCCAAAATCCTGAGCAGCTGCTGTTGGGTAAAACAGAAGAAATGCCAGAAGGACATATGTGCCAAAGGTGACTAATAGTGCAATACACTATACTCATGACAGACACATTATAGGAAAAAAGTAGTAGACTCTGTGGGGTAGAAAGCCAAGCGTGTGTTAAGACAATATCATCTATGAGTGTTTAGAAATAAGAGTGCGGCTAGAAAGAGTTAGAGCAGGTCTCCTGGAGAGATGGGAAGATAGGAAATAAATATCGATGGAAGGATGGACAGGGGTAAAAGAGAAGGTTTTGTCTGACTCGCAAAATACAGTAAGTAAAGAGTGATGTTGGAAATGAGAATGGTGTGTTTGAAAACCTGTGGGGAGGTGTGTCTGACTAAAGCAAAAGCATAGTGGTGTGGCCATGTGAACTGGCTCAGCCTTGGTTGGGAAGGGCAGCCACTTGATTGGAAAGAGCAAAAAAGAAAAGAACAGAAAAATATCAAAGTTCTCCTCACTAGGTGACTATCTTGGTCAATTTTTTTTTTTTAAGATTTTATTTATTTATTTGAGAGAGTGAGCAAGTAAGAGAGAGCATGAGAGGGGAGAGAGGGAGAAGCAGACTCCCTGCTGAGCAGAGAGCCCAATGTGGGACTTGATCCAGAGACTCCGGGATCATGATGTGAGCGGAAGGCAGTTGCCTAACCAACTGAGCCACCCAGGCACCCCTTGGTCAATTATTTTTTGTCAGTGCCTTCCTGTAGTCAGTACTCACTGAAATTCTGAAACTATATCAAGCATATTTATAGGGGGAAATGGTTTGTTCTGTCTAAAGTCCAAGTCCTTTAATGTACTTCCAAACACATACATTCTGAAAAGAGTGATAGAAAACTGAAAAAAGAACAAAACTTCCAATAAGTGAGAAATAATTTGCCGGGGGGAAACTTTTTTTTTAAACTGTTTTTCTTTTTTTAGAAGTGAATTAGTCAGAGAACCTGTTGCAGTGTCCTTTATTAAATAAAAATTAATAAAAATTATTTAGTAATAATTATGATGCTATCATATTAGTTATATTGCACCAGTTATATTAATGATTAGTAATAGAAAACTAATGGATATTAATTAATAATTATTAATTCATAGAAAATAAATTTAATTAGACTTTAAATAATATTAGTTTGAAGGAGATCAAATTATTCATCTACCCCAGGCACACGTTTCCTGAGGTCTGAGTTGGAAGTCCCTCCCTGGAAAGAAGTATGAGATCAGGTGGAAAAACAGGTTGAAGTTAAATTATGGAAGTCCTTAGATGATAGTCTCAGGCACTCAGACTGTATCCCATGCTCAGGAAAAGACTCTAGAAGGTATCTAAGCAAGTGAGTGAAGTGACATTTAGGAGGTCAAGTGTTGCCACCGTATGTAGGATAGATAGGAAAGGACACACAGGGAGACCAGGTAGAGACATGCTGAAGTAATTAGGCACAAAGCAGTGACAGTCCAGCCCAAGGTGTTCTAGGGTTCCAAAGATAGCTTGACTCATTTTGAAGAAAAAAATAACACATTGCTTTGTGACTGACCAGGTATAAGAGAAATTTGAGCAGATTTAGGTGATAAGCATGAAAGAGAAGGTGAACAATGGTGTCCAGCACAAAGCAAAGAATTTGAAGCAGAGAGCAGAAGCTCATTGGAGGGATAAAAGGAAAGTGTTTGGGTGGAAGATTTAGACACACCAATAAGACATGGATTAAGTCAGTAGACAGCTGCGGAAAGCCTACGTTATAGGAGTTCTCCCCCAGCCTACGTTAGGTCTTCAGAGAAGGACAATCTGCACAAAAGAAGATAGCCACAATAGCCTTCTTCATGGTATGTCGCGAAGAGATATGCATTGTTTTCCACCCCCTAGATCAGTCACATGTGGATCCTAACACCAATTTCTGTCACATCTTGAGTATAAAAGACAATAAAATATGGAATTTCAAAGGTTTGTCCAAGGAAAATATTTTTCTTCTTTACACTCACATATTTCTTCTGAACTGAAATAAAATATCCCACATATAAGCAATTATTTTTTTTTGCTGAGCAACAGATTTATTATTCATTTACTAGAAAAACATGTTTAGCACAAAGAGAGGTTACGTAGAAAGATAAAAACGTAACAGTTCCAGATATTCACTGATTTTTGAAAAAGACATTTCTCAATTTGTAGAATGTATAAACACAGACATGAAAAATACCAACATCACATTTTTTAAAAATTGGCAAGAACACTTGGCCTTAATAAAAATAAAATTAAAATGGTAACTTTGGAAACACTGCATTCTGTGAGATGTGTCCACGTTCCTTCTGGAAAAATCTACATGTTGGTTCCAAATCATATTTATCTATAGGAGTAATTTGAATACAGTGAATATTTAAACCCAGCTATGTCAAGAGGAGAAACAATAACCACAGGCATTAGGTCAGGAAAGAACTGAGCTTTTAATATAGACATTCTTATTTTAAAAACTCCAGGTGCATTCAGAGTAGTCTTAGTGATTGTATTAACAATGGCTAAAGTTGGAAGTGATGAAATTTTCAGTTGCCTTAGATTGCTATTAACATTACTTATCTTAAAATTTCTGAGTCCAGGTTTTTATTGTATGTAATTAAGTTCCATTTTTTTTTCCATCTCTGTAACAACCCTTAAGGAGATAAGAACTTGGAAAGCTAGAAGAGTAAGGAAAATAGTAACAAAAGGACCAATATGTGGAGAGAGAGATAAATGAATACAATAATTTAATTCAACCAGCATTCATTATTATTCAAATGGCATTCTACAGAGGTTTACAAAGACAGAATGGGGACACAAGGGCCAAACTCCATGAACTTAAAATCCAAGCAGGGAGACATTACATTCTACTTATGTGATTCAAATAACAGGATTAAAAAAACGAAGGTAAAACAATACCGCAGGTGCATCATAGCGCATGCCAAAATGCTGAGAAAAACTGGTGTCATCAAAAGAGACAGCCATTTTCTCCAAAGAGAAAATGTCTGTGTGATTACACTCTGAGGGAAGTGTAGAATTTGGCACAGGAACCCCAGACAGAAGAATAGTATAAGATAACTAGAGTGGAAACAGGAAGCCAGGAATAAACTCAGAGAAGACCTGAAAAGGAGGACAGGAGGCAAAGTGCGTAAGGGAATGAAGGACCTGGAACATACGGCCAAGGCATCAGAGTCTGATTCAAAAGGGAGTAAGAAGCCACTGTTGGTTTTTAAATAAGAAAGGAGCTTCAGAAATATTCAGATGTTGTGTCTCCAACCATCTCTTGGGTTGAATGAAAATGTGATCAAAATCATGTTTGCATATACATGGCTGATTTGGTCTTTACTCTGGAGGCGCCATGATCGACATATATGTGGTTTTTATGACGAAGCTAGATTTAAAGAACCTGGTAATCTAGCAAGCTCGCTTTTTCATAAACTGACATTTAAGGCATTTATAGTTGACTATGCTGGAAATTCTCAAAAAGATGATTCCCCCAAATTTATTCCCAAATGATCAACTAAAAGAATGCATGTAGTACTATAGAGTGAATTGTGTCCCCCTAAATCTCATATTTTGCATAAGTTCTATCCTCCAGTGTGAGAGTATTTGGAGATGGGGCCTTTGGGAAATAATTAGGTTTAGATGGAGTCATGAGGGTGGAGCTCTTTTGAGGGGTTCAGTGCCCTTATAAGAAGAGACAGTGGACAACTTCCTTTCTATGTCTCTGCCACCTGAAGACAGAGGGAGAGGGTGGTTATCTGCAAGACAGGAACAGAGCCCTCACCAAGTGCTGAATCTGCCAGCACCTTGATCTTGGACTTCCCAGCCTCCAGAGCCGTAAGAAATAAATTCCAGTTGTTTAGGCTACCCAGTCTAGGATATTTTGTTATGACACCTCAAGCCAACTAATACACTTATGCCATTATAAACATTTCAGACACTTCACTGATCCCCTCTCCATGTGCTTCCGTAGATTCTTCCTGGCTTTACCTTTCATGGGTGGCAGGCCAGGGGGTGTTTAGTTAACATCTGTTGGATGCTCTACATATATTATCTAGTTGAATCTTGGTAAGAATATGTGATGCGATGACTTACGGTAAGTATTTCAAGATAGTTTTATTGGAAAAAAGTGATAGAAAATGTACACATTTTATAATCCACAATTAGGAGTCTTCTAAGGAGTATACATATATAACTAATTTGAAATCTGGTAGCCATAGTGGACAATGAAAATAAAACACTCCTTGATAACTTTTCTTAAGGATAATCAATAATTTATTTATCATCACAATTGCCACAATTATCTAGCTACATGACCAATGTCACTACATACCACAGGAAGACTGTCCACCTACACTTCACTGAGACAAAGACAACGGCCATTTATGTGTTAAATGTACAACGGGCTATTAAAAAGAGGTGGTTTTTACGTATAAGACAAGATGTGGCACATGATTTATTAACAGGGTTGATTTTAATACGTATTATGCCAAGAAGCAAGCATAGAAATGTTTTGGCATTGAGTTGTTTTTAAAGTAGAAAATAAGTAAACTAGAGAAATAAATCCAGATCTTAACTTACAATAGATACATTAAAATAGGAAATTAATTGGCTCCTCAGTATTTCTGTTCAAGCTTTTTTTTGTTTTCTTTCCTTTTGTTAGTTTTTTTATATATATATAAATGAGTAATACGAATATATCACAAGTTAAAGAAAGATCTCAGCCAAAAAGAAGGTACCAGCATATGAAAAACAAATGAAAAATTACCAGGTATTTTTGCTTACAAAAAATTTAAACTATAAAGAGTCACAAAATATATATAAAAATGCCACATTGAACGAGGCAATCATACTCTACCCAAACTGGTAGCACCCTCCTAAAATCAGTTGCATCCCATTCATTCGGTCATACAGTGGTGACTGACAAAAAGGCATTATGCACCCGGGTGCCATCAGGAGACTTGGCCCCGTGGGTCATCAGTTCTTGGATTGTCATCCAGTTGTCCAAAATTTTCTTGTTTCTCTTTTTCATCATCTTTTTGTGACTCAGTTCAATGATGTTGATCTCCTTCTTGCCCTCGCTGCCACTCTGGGGGCTCTCCTTAAGACACTCCAAGCGGCTCCGCATCATGAACTCCCGGCGCCGACGCTGCTCTTTGGCGCGAACCAGGTGCTGCTTTCTCTCCTCTTTGCTCCAGTAGCGGCCCATTTTCAGCTCGCTCATGGTGTCATCATCCGTCGTCATGCCACTGCGCTCCTCCTTGATCTTTAAGGCACGTTCCCTCAGAATCCGGTCTCGCACCGGTCTCTTGGTGATGTACCGCGTCCCGTCGCTCCGGATTTTCACCTTCCATTCCATCTTGGGCTCGGAACACTTCTGGGGCTCCTTGCACATGCTCACTAAACTCAGCTGGCTCTGCGCATACTCGACTGCGGATTTCTGCTGAATTAACTGCATGTAGCTTTGATAATGGCGGGCATGTGCTGGGATGTTTGCGTACCTGTAGGAGGAGCTGTGGTAAGGAGAGAGGTAAGGGATGTGCTCGCTGCTGGTTTTCTCGTGCTCGGAAACCTTGCTGCTTTCGGAAATCTTCTCCTTGGCCTCCGCGCTGCAGCCTTGTTCGATGGTTTTGGCTTTGGTGGAGGTCGACTCTTTACTGCTCTGTCCGGAAGAAGACGGACTGGCGGCCATTGTGCTTCTCAGGTTTTTCTTATTGGTGAGGTTGATCATTCTGGGAAGGGAGCTGTCAGGGGAACGGTCCACAGTGAGTGGGGTGCTTCTGCAGCTTTCTGCTGTGTTGTAAGCACTGGAACTGTCCTTGTCCGACTTCTCTGGGTGTTCGATGATGTCGTCTAGTTTCCCCCGTGGCATATCCATGCTGGTGTTATAATTCCGGAATCCTCCATCGTGCAAAGCCCAGATGTCTCCATACGGGTCTGTCGCTTTCTGGAGCCTGTGCGCCTGCATGATATTCTGGCACTCCAGTTCAATGTTTCTTAGTTCTTCGTTAAGCAACTGTAGCTCGTGCTCCACTCCCTCTTGTTCCCCTTGATGGCATTCTATTGTGCTGCTCGAGTAATACAGGTCATACTCTCCATGGTTTCGAATCTTGCATTTGAGCTCCAAGAGCTGTCGGAATCTTTCACACTCCTCGTCCGGGTTGCCAAGGCAGTCGGAGTCAATGTATTCGCCAGACACGAAGCTCTCGTTGCACTGAAGCTCAACGCTTCCCAGAGTGTCTTGGCTCTGCCCCAGCTCTCTTGTGCTCTTCAAAGATGTGCTGTTGGGATCCTCGGCTGCGTTCTCCTGCTCTGAGCTCTCATCATTCCGCAAGCTTTCATCCGTGCGCCCTACCCCGCTGTCCTTCTCATGGTTGTTGGAGGACGATGTTGCCGTGTCTGTTGTGCCTTCTTCTTCTTCTTGTTTTTTTGGCTGAGAAAATAAAGTGCAGAGATCAAACAAAACCCGTTATTTAAAAAAAACAAAAAAAAAAAAACAAAAAACAAAACAAAACACAGGTTGTTGCAAAACTTGCTTGAAAAAAATGATGCTTCTTGGCAAAGATGTGGTTCCTAGAAAGAGGTTCCAATTTTAGTACCCTTAACCATTTCAGAAATAAAGACATTTCGCTCAAGGCAGCTTTTTATGAACTGAAATAAAGAAAACCAAAACTGCTTAGAGACTTGACTTGGGGTTAAATAGGCCACATTTTAATAAGTGATTCTTACGTTAAGGTTCTCTCCTACTTGGAAAACTGGCAGGAAGTTGTGTAAATGAGGTGATTGTATGAGTCTCTGAGGTGGTAACACAGAAAAGGATGAGTGAGACAGGTGGTCTAAATGGTCTTCTGCAGTGTGGAGGCCTGGAGTTCTGAAGCCAAGTCACCTTATTATGAGGATTTTTTCCCTGAACTTCAAGCTCAGAAGAAACTTCGCTGATCTATGACACACTGGTTATGGTAAGTCAGACAGCACAGTATCGCAGGGATAGGTTAGTACTGAAGCCTCGGTCCTTCTTTCTATCGATGAGGAACTTTAAGCCCAGATGGAATCAGTTTATGAGTGACTCAGAGAGAGGTAGAAAAGGCCAGTGCTATTCCCCAGAATCAGGATTTCTTCCATGTCCGGGATGCCATTTCCTGCATAGGTACCCTGACCTCAGTGCCTCTCCAGATCACATTGCTCAAAAGCAACAAAATCATCTCAGGACTGCTTTGGGTTACTTAAAAGTATTTTTCTACTCTCAACCGGAACTTCCTTCAGATGTGAATTTTATTCTTCTCAGAGTAAAGTGGCAGTTCTCATGAAAATCGGAGAAGCACTGATTGCCAGACAAGGGCATTGTATCACAAAAATATATTTTTGACATATTTGTGAATACGGACTCATATGTACACTTTATTCCTTGATAGTTTACAGCTTTCATGTAGAACAATTCACTGTTGCTATCCTAAGAGGATGCTTATGTAATTCTTTCTCTGTGAAGAGGGTAAAATTATTTTTTCCTCCATCATGTATCATATACAAGTCTACATGGCAATTTCTACATTGTATTTCCTTTATATGTAAACTTACCATTTTATGTAAATATTTCCCTCTAGCAGGTGTAATTATACAATTAAATATAATTAAGTCTGTTAGTGTTAAAGAAGGACAGAAAGCATGAGAAAAGGTATTAAAAAACAGACGTGAAAGAGTCTATCAAGAAAATTGCTTTATTTTCTCCCACAGAAAGCAGAACAAAACATCACATAAACTGCAGAGGAGAGAACATGACCATGTATAATGTTATTTAAGGATTCCCTGTCTTTCCCTAAAATAGTTTTCCTCATTTTTTGAAAATATGTTGAAATTTTATATGTCATATTGATAAAAAAATAATATTCTAAATAAGTAATTGTGATTAACAGTGGAGCGCTTGAAATATTTGTATGGTCCTTGCTTATAAGCTGACAATAGAAATCTGATGTGGTGACATTCACACTTGCCATAGCCCCTCCAGAGGTTATTATTGATATTGGACATCTGAGTGGATACACCACATTATTTACACTTATATTTTTTCAACAGCAATGAGTTTAAAAATATAAAAAAAGCTAGTGTTTTTTGTTTTTGTTTTTGTTTTTTGTTTTTTTTTTTAGTCTTTTTATGTGGAGTGCCAAGGATATAGATAAATTATGCCAGGGGAGGTGTTCCACAATGTGTCAACAGCAACCCTAACACCAAGGATAGTATGGGAAGTGAAACTTTCATGTGTACATGGATTTTAGTTTTGAAGTACAGATATACGTTTTCTTTTTTTAATCAAATTCCCTTTTCTTTAGTCACTGGTTTATAAGCAAGTATGAAAATAAAAAAAGCGTTTTCCATTCCCAAACCTAGACTTCCTAGTTTCTAATATAATGCCCCTTTCTCATTTATCCTTTCCCTATGGAATTATTATGGTGACAGGCAATGCTTCTACCAAGACATTTCTCATGTAGTATTATTGTTTATTAGGGCACAGACTTTTAAAGGTTTCTGTCCTTCTTATCAGTTTTCAGTCTCATGCAGAAGAAAAATTTCCACACAATGAAAATCTAACCTCAGGGACATCTAGTGTTACCTCAAAAGACCTAGCATTTGTATTACGTCTGATGAGTAGGCAGCATTTGACACCATATCACTTCACCTGGACAGGTTTCTCCCTTCTTTCTTTATTCCAACATCCCCCTGTCAATTCTGTATCAGGTCACATTTTGTATCTAAGAGAGAAAAAGCCTGAAGCAAGGACTTTCTTGCTTGTAACCAGCAGCTGCCACCAAAAAATATCTTTATTTGTGGCCAGCGTTGAAGTCATACATAAAAATTCCATCTGTCTTACCTATATTGAAAAGCAATCACCACAGTAGCAACATTGCTCGTGAGCATGAACTACAGTTTGTGAACTGGCCAATGAGCGTCTGTGCTCAGCACAGAGTAGAGCACACATGGCTTTGACACTTAGTCTGCGACGAAATGATTTATTTAATATACGGGCCTGTGCCCATACACACATGCATCCATCTCTGTTGTGGAAAGCTAACATGGCCATATTTTCCATCGTGCAGCTTGGTAAAGTGATCAGATGTTTGTGCTTCATGTCCCTAAGTGCAACTGTCCAGGATTTTTAAAAAAACTATTTAAAAAAAAAAAAACCACAACAAAACACCCAAAAAACTATCTTTTATAATGTGTTAAGAATTCATGTTGAGACCAGGGTGATAAGGATAAGGATAATCCTATAAACTGACAGCAGAAGCGTTCACGAAATTATACCAGGCAGATGACTGACATGAACTCAACATAAAAAATCTCGGATACACTGATCTTGTCTGGGCACCTGGGTGGCTCAGTGGGTTAAGCCGCTGCCTTCGGCTCAGGTCATGATCTCAGGGTCCTGGGATCGAGTCCCGCATCGGGCTCTCTGCTCGGCAGGGAGCCTGCTTCCCTCTCTCTCACTGCCTGCCTCTCTGTCTACTTGTGATCTCGGACTGTCAAATAAATAAAAAAAAAAAAAAATCTAAAAAAAAAAAAAATCTCGGATACACTGATCTTGTTTTTACCCATAGGAACAACGACAATCACAAAAGAGTACCAAGACTCAGTCTGCTACAGGCCCCTCTGTAACCTTGCACCAGCAGTGAATTAATTAAGAGCAAAAACTTTGCTCATTTTAATTTGTATGCTCAGGATCAAGTGTGGTGCTTGGGACACATGAGGAGCTCAGCATTTTTGGCTGAATGATTATGTGACCCTAAGGCGAGATGATATCAATGATCTCAAATAGTGCGACTCCTGTTGAGAAGTACATAGGTAGGGCCATGATACCACAAACATAAATAAGAGTGATGGCTTACATCATGTCATCATCGTCTTATACTTGCCTAACTATTCAAATAGACACATTAATATTTTAAATTATAAAATTAATTTTGGGGAGGGGGGTAGCTCATGGAATATAGTTTCTCTCTGGCTGGCATATTGAAAAGCAACGCATATTTTTGCCTTTAAATTTCTGAATGAGGTCGAACAGTGCCCGGGTCAACATTTGAATCTTGCTGTACTCTGGCAACAATGGTCCCTAAGCTTTCCAAGCTAGAAAGATCTTAATAGAAAAACATTGTATTTATTCCCTCTGCTTCATTTGAGATGCCCATCTGCTCTAGAAAAATTACCATTACAGAGGTGTTTGATCAAACCCTTTGATTTTGTTTTTACTCCATTTATGGTTCTATATTAAGAAAAAAAAAAAAACAGCAACGTTTCAAATGATGTAGGTCAAGTCGTTGGCCGTACCTGCTCCACCTCGTTGGCTGTGCCCTGCATTGCTTCATTATGCTGTTCTTCCAGCATCTCTAAGTTTAACTCCTCTAAGAATTCATTTCTTTCATCTTCCAACCAGCCTTCATCCAGCTGCAAAAGAATACATTAGTACATTACATTAGTTTAGTGCGAGCTCATGCTAAAAGAGGGTAAACTTAAATGGCGATGCCTGACCAGTTCCTTTTATGATAATGATTCTCTTCAGAATACCAGCCTCTAGTAAGTTCACCTCTCAGAAGGAAGAAAAGGTGATTAAAAAAAAAATTGGACGCAGATGCCTTTTATCCTTTCCTGAAACAGAGCTACAGATTTTCTCTCATAACCAAGTAGATCTCACAGCATAGAACATTACCGTCTTTCAGAATATATGAAAAGCATATTGCATAATCCACAGCTGTCACGCTCATTACCTCCAACAGTGCCCGTATTAAAGCACTGCAAAGGTACTAATAGGGCCATGAGACAATTGGGCTTTTTTCCTTAACAACAACCCCCAATGAGACTGCATACAAAGTGTTCCCCACCCCCAGAACACACCGATGCTACCCTCATCCTGCTTTTTTATCTTTAGGCAGATGGCTTCCAAGTTAACAAGATGGCTGCACGCCACAAACACAGACATTTATTTGATCTGGGGGGAAGAACAGAAAAATTCTAAAATATTCTTCTCAAAAAAAAAAAAAAAAGTAAGGCTATGCCATGTCTATTTTGATTCATTTTTTAGGTCGAATTGCAAAAAAATATATATATCTGAGATGTTGCATCTAAAGGGAGTGGAGCAGTGTGGAGCACGCAGGGTTTTGTTTGTGGGCTCAGGATCCAAGTATTCTGGTGGGAGTCTTACACAAATTAAACTGAATAAATCCTTTCGGCTTCTCAATACAAAGTGAAGTGGGAAACCTTGCTAAAATGATGAGTGTTGACAGTCAATACAGATAATTTGCCTCAAAGTGGATTTCTGGAGCTGGATTACATAAATTAGCTGTCTATGCTGATTAAATTAACTGAATTACGGTCCATGTTCTGTTTTACTCTGTGTTAAAAGAAACAGCAGCTTTCTAATGAGCCGAAATTGACAATATAGTTGACCCTTGAACAACAGGGGTTTGAACTACGTGGGTCCACTTACATGCGGATTTTTTTTTTTAATACAGTACAGTACTCTAAATCTCTTTTCCTTATGCTTTTCTTAATAACATTTTTTTTCTCTAGCTTACTAGGCTGTAAGAATAGTCTATAATACATGTGACATATAAAAATATGTTATTGGAGTGTTTATGTTATTCGTAAGATTTCCGATCATCAGTAGGCTACTAGCAGTTAAGTTTTTGGGGAGTCAGAAGTTACAGGCCAATTTCTGACTGGGTGGGGGTTTTGGCTCTCTAAATCCCTGCATTGTTCAAGGCTCAGCTGTAGTTTGAGGGATTTTCACCACCCAGCAATGGCAAAATAAGCTCTTAAGGGTAAATGAAACTGTAACACTTGAAAAGAAAACAAACTCTGAGAGGACATTAAGTTGCACTGGAAAATGCATTCGCATATATGCTTCATATTCCTTAATATGAAGGTAGTTGTAAGTTTCTTGATATTTATTACAGGCTGCCTAGAATTTAAATTACTCAAATTTGACTGAGGCCAAAGTGCAGACACATTTACTCATCCTCATTTATCTTAATGTAGCCTGAATAACCAAGTTCTACCTCACTGACTTTGATATGCAGATGAACTATGAAAATTAAACTGACTAAAAATTCAAATTCAGTTTATAATTGTTTAAGTTTTACATCCTTTTTTTCTTTAAGATTTTATTTATTTATTTGACACACACACACACACACACACACACACAGACTGCATGCAAGCACAAGCAGGGAGAGCTGCAGAGGGAGAGTGAGAAGTAGGCTCCCCCTGAGCAGGGAGCCTGACTTGGGGCTCGAGCCCAGGACCCTGAGATCATGACCTAAGCTGAAGGCAGAGGCTTAACCCACTGAGCTACCCAGGTGAACCAATTTTACATTTTTTAATCCCTTGTAAATTTTATGAAGCCAAAAACTCCAGACTCCAAAAGAAATTATGTAGAGCTACAAATGTTACTTTTTATAAGCACACCAAGGGATTTTTCTTTAATCAGGTCAAAACAAAATATTTGCTTGCACAGAGCTAGTGAATAATGGAACAGAGTCTTCTGAAATTTAAATGAAGGGGTGGGAAAGATAAGGAGAACAAACTGTAGAAATTAAGGATTTCCTATAACTCTTTTCTTATTAGCTAATCCCACAGATCCTTGGGTGTTACCTGTAGTCAGCCTACATCTATTTCGACAAGTCTTTTGGCTGGAGGTATACACAGCACAGTGAGTGAGTCACCTCCTTTCCCTCTTGTATTTCCCTTTCCGCTGAAATAAGCATTCATGGTAGTCTGAGTTTCAGACTCCGCCTCAGGCGGACCTTTCCCTGGAGCTGAGCCTGCAGGAAAATGGGGCTCTCTTTATGAAACGGAGATCTGTCTGCACAGCAGTGGAACACACGTGCCATTTCAGAGAAAGGAACTATCTGCATTGTCTCTGGAGTAGTGTTTACAAGTTCTTATGAGAGCCCTCTCTGCCCCAATGTCCCAAGGGGAAGAGGACAGAATAGCAATATCTATAATGGTCTAAGGAAGAAAATGAAAGAAAGTTGACAGGGAATGAAAGAAATGAGTTATTTAAAAATATTGCGCAGATGTATAAGACTGCCCCCAGCAAATCTGTAGATCATTTCCAAGAATGTAGAGAGTATCTGAAATATTAAGAAAGGAAAACGCCTAGAAAAAGTGCACAAGAAACTTCCACACTTTGACGAGTAAAATTCATTTGCAAAAAATACCATAATAAGATACATTAAAATTGATAAAAAATATAGGTGATATAAAGGCAAGGTTTTCTTGGATTTTTTTCTTGCCATTTTATAGCATGTACTGCTTAAATTACATTTTTAAAATATGGTGTGAAGATCCATTTTCTTTCTTTATTTTTCTAGAAATCTGATTTTCTAAATGCAATTAGCTTTCTTCCAGTGTCATGAGGCTTCTTTAGGATCAAGGGGCTGAAGCAGATCCTGATTTTGACAGGACAGAGTATCCTGCAGTCAGACAGCCATCTTTTCTCAACTGTGGAGAGGAAGTCCTGTTTGGAAATTCATCTTCCAACATTGATTCTGTTAGGTCAGGAGTGTAGTCAGATATTTGAAAATTCCACCAGTTCTACCAAGCATATGTATTCTATTAATGATTAACAGGATCTAGTCTTACATCATGAATTTTGATTCTTTCCACAGTCTGTTATAACCGTTCTATGGCATAGTTTCAGGAAATGCTTTAATTCTAAATTAATGAGGTTCTCTAGAAGTTACATGGAAAGGGCAAGGGAAACCACATTATGACATTGAAATACCTTTTCTCTAACAGGGAGGACCCCTGAGTTCTCTTCGGTTTACCATGCATTTCACTAACATATGTTTAACCCCTTTATTTTGTTCTTTTTCAAGAAAATGGGATCAGTGAGACTAAGTGGTTTGCAAAACTTCCACATAATTAGTGAACTTTCATACATTTTCTGTATTCTTAAATTCATTCCTAAACAGGCAGTCCAGCCAGGCGTGTAGGCTCTCTCCCATTCCCGAGACCGCAGCTGTATAACTATACTCTGCCTTGGGCTATAGCAGGCTTTATGGGATCCATTTAGAATGGTCAAGGGCATAAAGGGAATATATGCGGAAAGGGTGATCTTTTATAACCACTATATTCAAGTCAGGATTTAGTCTGACACTGAAATACACTTCCTCAATGTAATTTATAGATAGTATGCAGTTACTGAGTTTGAAAAATATCAGATCAATAACCTGGGAGACAAATGGTGATATAAGGAACTTCACTCAAACGACTGACAGATGGAGAGAATGGTGACAACGTGCTGTCCTTTCTGCATTGTGGTGGGTTATAAAAAGCATATAAAAAGAAGGACCCATAGCACTTTTCTTCCAACATTACCTTTCCTTTACTTTCATGACATCCCCCACTGTTAAAGATAGAAAAAACAATTCCTCCAGAAGCTATCTGCTTGTTTTTGACTGGACAGATGTTTTTATCACACTACACTTGGGAAAAATTCCTTCATTATACTTGGAACTACACCATGCTACGTGGGTCACTTTATTTGATAAAGTTCTTCTACAAAGATTTAAGTTGATAGTTGGATGCACTAATGTTTCTCTCGTTAGAGATTCTTTCAAGATACCTTAATATGCCAATTAAGTATTTTTAGATAGAGACCTAAAGCAAGGATCCAGACAGAATTTAGAATCATGTGAAGTGAACCATTTTTCATTTACGAATTCATTCAAATAACTTGCAAGTGGAAGGAGAGAATAATGGTTCCATCTTGTGTACATTTTTCCTTCCTTCTTCTTTTTTTTCCCCCCAAAAAGATAAGTTGATAAGGTTGGTAAGTTAGGAAAGATGACTCTTAATTATGTTTTGCATACTTGGCTTTACCAATAGCCATAGTACTGAGTTGATACAGAACAGCAAATAATGGATGCCAAGTTCAGTCTCAAGATTTCCGATGTCCGCTCTGACCTGAATCTCAGGCCTTGCGACAAGCAGCACGATTCTCTTGCACTCATCGCTAGACAGCAACGCCACTGCTTCTTCTCGATTCTGGACATCTTCCCCATTTATCTAGAAAACAAATGGAAGTGGCACATTAGTTTCCATTTCCACAATGCTGCACACAATAAATGGCAAATATCAGCTCATTTGTGGTGAATGTATGGACAATGAAACTCACACAATGGGCTCATCTTCAGCCCCTCCGTGGTAAGTGCCTTCACTCAATTACGCGCTTACTGTAAGAGCCATATCGATCCCTGAAGGATGGCGGACATCAGAGGAAGCAGTTATGTTCATAAATGTCCAACCTGCGCCCTGGCAACATACATCTAGCAACACAATTAACCAGCCCCTGACAGGTGACGTTCATCTTTCTCCGCTCAGAGTAATGGAAGTGTCACTCTGAGATAATAGTGCTGGGGGAAGCAGGACTGGCAATCCCGCATCTGAAATCCGTCATCCTGCACGTCTGCTACGAGCCAATTAGAGAGCTGCGGTATTATCTCTCACCAGGCAGTGCTCCCAGGCCACTGCTGATTGCATTTTCATTTAATCATCTCATATTTGTGTGGGTCTGACTCAGTTGCCCCAGTCACTCTCAGGGTATCTTTCAGGGCTTCACTAATCAAAAGAAGGACAGTTCATCAGTAACGTCCATATCAATACTCCAGTTCTTTCTAAGATTTATCCATTTCCTCAAACAACAAAACTAATGAAATATCTTATGGCTCATCTCTTAAGTGAACTTAGGTTAAAAAATAAAACACAGAGGAAAAATGGCTTTTTGCAAGAAACCAAGCTTGAGTAAACTTTTGATTAAAAAGACTCTGCTGGAATTCGAAATATAGCTTTTGTCCTTTTTCTAAATTCTACAGACAGAGCAAATAAGGTTTCTGAAGTTTGTATTTTAAGCTACATTTTCATGTTCAAATGTATTTAGCTCTGAGTTAACTTCTTTCTTTGGATATTTTATATTTATTTTATATTATTGATTGTTCAAATCCACAGGGACAGTGAAGGTTTTGATATAGTACAGAATCAAAATGTGCAGAAAGAAGTTTCAATTCAAGAGGTCAAGTAATTATGCCTAAAATAAATATTAATTATTTCAATAAATTACATAGAAAAGGCAGCTATACTGACCAATTTTTCAATAATTAACATCTTTCATTAAGCATTTCTGCTGGAAAGCATGAATTAGACTGCTAAGATTTTATTTTCTTCTTGTGGATCTTTGGGATTTTGGCTGATGCACGAGGGCAGATAAAATTATTGAAATAAGCCCAGGTATCTCAACTCCGGACCACAATAAATGATCCTTAATCCTGGACTCTTATCACACATATGGAGCACAAAGAAAGCAGACAATACGTAATAGTCAAAGGGAGGGGGGCAATCATTCAAACATATATTTTCTTACTCTGATCAAGTAAGTATTGCCTTTGTTTTTCACTTATATATGTAGACAGGAAATTCAGCTTTTACAAGTTTCAAGCACATTTCCTCTTTTGGCAACTCACAATAAAATTCATCAAATTAGAAAACAGAAGCTATGATTCCAAAATGAGAACTAATGACGGGAAAGGGAATTTTGTGGTTTTTCTTAAATATACATCTGAAAAGCTATTTCTATGTTGAATCCAAGGCTTTTTCTCAAATAAAGATAAATTGGCCATGGTGGATTCTACTAAACCTCCCCATCCCCAGTGAAGTGTACTTTGAAAATAATTACTTGAAAATGTTTACTTTCTTTGAGCTTTGGGGGCTTATGTCCATTTCGTAGTAATTCTTAATAGTATATCTGCAGTGTATCTATTTGTCCATTCATTATGGACCTAATCGTCCATCCTCCCTCCATCACCAGGCATGTTGGATGCTGGGGAGATGGAGTTGGGTGCTTTCAGACAGCTTCTCTTCACCTTTTCTGTGCAAAATCTAATGCTCACTATTTTTTTCATTCAAGTATATTCATATAAATTCTTCATCTACATTTCACTTACCATTAACCTAAATACTCTTCATTCATGTCTACTTAATGTTACTATTATGTTTCCTATATTAAATTGCAGGTACTATGGGGTGCCTGGGTGGCTCAGTGGGTTAAAGCCTCTGCCTTCGGATCAGGTCATGATCTCAGGGTCCTGGGATCAAGCCCCACGTCGGGCTCTCTGCTTAGCGGGGAGCCTGCTTCCCCCTCTCTCTCTGCCTGCCTCTCTGCCTACTTGTGATCTCTGTCAAGTAAATAAATAAAATCTTTGAAAAAAAAAAAAGTGCAGGTAATAGTGCCTTTCTCAGAGTGTTCTTGTAAGGGTTAAACGAGTTAATATATCTCGGGTTTAACCAAGGGCCTGGTATCCAGGAAGAGCTCTGAGTTGGCACATGGTACCGTTGATATTTTTGTTGTTGTTACTTCTTATGACTATGACTACTACTATAATTATTTATGTTCATATTTTAATCCTCAGTAAAGATTCTTTTCTTCTAAATAAAGCAAATACAGTGAAATTCATGCACAAGAATTAAATCCACAGTAGCAAACATCTTTCTACTTTAAAAGACATCTCTCTCATATATATTTTTAACTCCTAGAGAACCACCAAGAAACAATATGGTGTGTTTGATTTGCAGTCTCCTTAGGGTTGGTATTCGTCTCTCTCTGTGAACTCCGCACGACCAGAGCTATGGTCTTCAGTCCCAACGTTATGTCCTTGTTCCTGGACGGACAGATCCCATGTTATAGAAACACATTTCCATTCAGAATCCTATGTGAATGTGAAAGGAAATGAATTCGCCACAGAAATCTGGGTTTAAAATGTAATTTATTGTTTCTTTTTCAAAATAAAGGCCACTTTAGCCAATTGGCTGGTAGATCCTATTGAACTCAAGACATTAGTTTGATACCCAGAGTGATACTGGGGCAAGAAATGCAGCCTTGGGTCTCAGCAAAGAATGAAAAGGTCTGAGGAATGGAATCAGATAGAGCTTTCAACCTTCATTTGCTCTTGTTCCTGAAGGATGGCTCATACGGCAGGATTGCTGGTGGGAGAGAGGTTTGCTGTGCCTGAAAACACCAGGCAGACATAAAGGTGAAGGACTCAGAATCACACGGAAGAGATAAGTGAGTGAGTGCGTCACCACGGTTTAATGGAAGGCTTTCATTTTAAGAAAAGAGAGGGAAAGAGAACCAGGAGAAAGGCAACATACAACTTTTGTCATAAATGAGGGAAAACTGTGCCAGAGAGAATATGTCTTGTCTCATTTTCTGTGCATGGCCCTATGTAAATATTGATTTCAAAGCAGATATTGCTTTGGCTTAGAAGAGATTTGTGGCATTACAAAAATAAATCACCCAAAATCTCACTTTAGGCCCAATCTCCTGTATGTGCATATGAGTGTGTATGTACGTGTGTGTGTGTGTGCAAATGTGTACAGGACCCTAAAAGCCTAGAAATGGTTTAATATAGCTTTTTTTTTGCATGAATGTGCCAATTTTTAGGTTTCCTATATTGATGTTCCAGAAGTGGGTCGGCAACTAAAATTCTTGGCATCTGACCACCTATGGAATTTATTTGAAAATGCAGGAGCCTAAGGCAAAAGAGGCATGATGTACTTTAAGTATGCTTATATTTTAGTGTGGAAGGAAGGTGAATAACATACAGAGATATAGAGGTGGACAGAACAGAAATGGGAGGAAAACCGTTATCTAAAGGACAGAAAAGAAAAGTACAGGAACAAAAGCTGGGGACAAGTTTATGCGTAGGGCAGGGATAGAGAGAGAAAGCTCAGTTGGAGTCTTATGGCCCCAGTGCTTGAGTTTTTGCAGGGTTTTGTTTGGGAGGGAGTAATCCTTAGGAACATGACCGACTTTTTTGGCAAACATGAGATTAGTTTGCTGACATAGAATACTGTACGCTTACTGTCCCAAGGAGGAAGTGAGAATATAGCCCTCTGATCATGGAGGTATGTGATCTTTAGTTCCTCCTCTGTGGGGCTCAGAAAAGCCTGTTTTCACTCAGCATTGCAATTTGTGAGAGGACTTCACCATATGAATTCCTGAGGCTACATCTGATACCACAAGCTTGTGGCAATGGCACAGCACACAGAACTGTCAAGTGCTTGCAGGGAAAAAAGCATGTGAGAGTTAAAACTTGTTATCATGAAACCGGGTCATGGTTTTTCTTCTGTACAATCCCTACCTTGGGCCAATCTCGTGTGAGTACCTGTGGGTGGTGTCTCTAGGTGAGGTCATTTAACAGACCCGCAATGTACTACCTTTAGAAAATTTTAGCTACACCATGAGGACAGGACCATAGGAGTACTCTCCTTAGGTCATCATGAACAGGAAATTAAAACCACAATAGCTCTAAAGAGATTGATTTAAATAAAAGCCAGCCAGGAAACTCCAAGGATAAGAAGTAAATCCTCTCTTTCTCCTCCTCTCATCTCCCTGCGACAGGAGTCATTAATTGTTCATTACAGGGTATCCCATAATCTCTTCATCAGCCATATGGGAGCTATTTGTCTGTAGGTACAATTTTGTCACAGTTTTATTTAATATAATTTCACCATCACCCTTAAGACTCTTTGTTTCCTATGTGTGCAAATAGACTTGAATTCTAGGCTTTTTAATGTGACATGTATTTGTTCATTAAATGTGACATATTTGTTGCTGAATATAAAGTAATCAGGCAGACAACAGCATTTTGTCAATCCTGCCGTTGTTTCTTCAGTGAACAACTCCATTAAGGAATGCCTTGTTATCCAGCAAATATTTTATCTGAAAACTTTATCTGCCTCTAATATAGCTGAAAATAAGGAAGTATCAAAACATATAACATGTATATATGAAAATACAATTGATTTATTTCTATCTACCTCTACTCATAGAATGAATTGATGCAATTTTAACCACTATATTTGTAGATCTAGCTTGTGAGAAAGTGGTTAGCTGGAAATCAGGAAAGGAGCCAGTGAGGTTGCTGGAGAAGCTGTCAGATGTGGAGAGTAGATGGTGAGAGAAGACATGACAGCTGGAAGCAGCAAGAAGAAAAGTGACAAAAAAAAAATGTAAGTAACACATCAGAAAATGTGGCCAACCAGGGTGATTTCATATTGTGGCACAAAGTCTTCCAGACGTTTTAACCATTGAGTATTTTATTGTTATTATAGCATCCTGTAATGATTGCTGGGCACAATATGACCTTGAGCATCATGAGAAGGTTATATTCTTTTCAACTGAGTATATTCAACTGTAGATGTTAACAAGGTGAATGATACATTTATAATTGTTTCCAAGTCAAAGTAATAATAATAAAATATGTTTGAAGCTTTCATTATCTGGATAGCACACAAAAATGGTACCCTTGTTTTTTAATGAGGCTACATCAGTAAAGCTTTACTGCAGATTGTATTCATTTATCCTATCACTCTGTCCACTGAATACCTGTTTCATTCATTCATTTATTCATGCATGATTGAGAAAGACACTGAAAGTATGGTAGCAAACAAGACGATGCCTTGGTTTCCAGATTCACTTTCTCTTGCCCTGATAGAGCCTGTGACACAGTCCACTCTGTTTAACTACAGGTTGCCACTTAAGGAGCTATAGGAATACAAGTTATATTCTTGAAGTTTTCTAAAAATTAGTAGGGCCATGAATGACTGCAAATCATACTTTTATTCCTTCCTAACTGGAGTCTTAGGAGCGGTTCCTTGATGAAAAACGAGTTCTGCAGCATCTAGCTAGAGAGGAGCAAGGGTATGCAGTAGAGGTGTGAATCAGTGAGTGGAGCCCTACAGAAAGGGAAGAAAAGGAGAAGGCTGGGCAGGATAACTGTGGTCAGGGCCCCAGGCAGTGCACCACGCCGTGACCATGACAGCGCCCCCTGCATTGTCATCCTCTGTGTGGGCAGCTGTCTTCCTAATTGCATGGGGAGTGCCCCAAATGCCAGGATGGCATCTGGTCTGTTTTCGAAGTCCTGGTTCTAGGCAGAGTGTTGAATCTATTCTTGTTAAAATGCAAAGCAACACTCGTCAAGCATCCACATCTAGGAAGGAGAAGTGGGAGCTGTAGGTTCATCATATGGTCTAAAAGTTATGTAGAATATTTGAACGGTTGATAACTTCCTCAGTTTTTCTTGTGAGTCATCTTCTCAGCTTTGTAGTTGTATGATCAGCAGTAAACTCAAGCCTCGGCTCTAAATTTGGGTTAATCTGGACACACAAGTTGGGGAGCTGTGTGTCTTTCTGCAGCACTCTGTATGGGAAAGGACTCAGAGGAGAGAGAGAGGGTCGAGGCCGGTATAGGAGACAAACTTTGGCATTCAAAGTCATTTCTAATTTGGCCTGGAATTCTTTCCAGCTCCACATCCCCCTTATGTTCCATTTATTATCTTGCTCATTAAACTGAAATTTTGTCAGTCTCTACATTTTCACATAAATCAAATTTCTTCAGACTTCTAGACTTTCAGGTCCTCATGGAACATAGGAATCCATGTTTCCCTAATTTATTCTGGAAGAGGCAGCAGTAACTGGTGTTGCTGTTGCTCTTACTACTAGAAGTTAATGTTTGTTACTTACATTGCAGTGTGCTAAGCCCTCCAGAGGTATACTCACATTTAACCTTTGCAACAATATATCTTATTATTACCATTTTTTAAGATGAGGAAACCGGTTTAGGATGAGGAGTAAAGTAAGAGGTGGAGCTGGGAGGTGAAGCTGAGTTATCCAAGTCCAGAGATGATACCTTAATTACTAATTATTAGCCAATAATTCTTAATCAATAGTATCATCTTTACTTAAAATTTTTTTTAAACAATAGCTGTTTGTTTTGTGGATGCCATTATCTAGAAAAGACAAATTGTTTTCTCTAACATTTTATAAAAAACTAAATAAAATGGAAACTATTGAACAAACGGTAGGAAACTAAAGGAAATAACCATCTCACATACTTGCAAAATTCGATCCCCTTCTCGAATTCGGCCGTCTTTGGCAGCTATGCTATTTGGATCCACCTGTAATGGAGAAAACATGCATCTTCAACTGGTTATGCGATACTCCCCCAGGAACTTAAAAATATCACTTAAAAAATATTTTTAGTAACCTGGTTAAAAATTCTCTACTGATTTATAGAAGGCATGCCAAAGTTTTCTGTTAAATAAAAATCACTGCTTCAAAAAATGTAAGTGGACTATTTTAGAATTAATAACAAAAAAGTTAGAAAGAACTACTGCAGAATTTAATTTGAAAATGATTTTTCTCTCTCCCTCCCTTTTTCTCTTTCTTTCGTTCTTTTTGCTCTTTTCTTCTTCTTCCTTCTTTCTTCTCCTCCTCCTTCTTCTTCTCCTCCTCCTCCTCCTCCTTCTAATTCTCCTTCTTCTCCTCCTCCTTCTTCTCCTTCTTCTTCTCCTTCTCCTTCTTCTTCTCCTTCTTCTTCTTCTTTCTTCTTCTTCTTTCTTCTTTCTCTTTTTTAAACATCTGGTTCACTCATTTCTGTATCCAAACTGTCAGGCATGGTCCTCAGCTGACACCATCTTCAGCAGATGTTAATTCTAGGATTCTCTGGACCCAGGAAATTTGCTTTCTACTAGGGTGATCTTTAAATCCTAGTTTATCTGTTTTAGAAAAGCTGAGAGCTATACTAAGTCCATTTTATTAAAGAAATTTCTGTCTCATGAACACATTAATTTATAAAGAGATTTATAATTGATGTTGCTTAAAAAATGAAAAAAAAGTTACCTATGTAGATCATTACTAGATTCTAAATTATAGGGTGAAGTGTATTAACTATAAATTATTTTAGAACAAATAGAGATTTAAGCCTTCATTAGGGGTTTACCAACATTTTAATGGGCCAAACTTGAGTGATGACTTACAGTTCACTGGGGGTAAATCTGTCTATCATATTTTGAATGATGTCACTAAGCCATTTATTTAAGATTACTTGATCAAGTCTTTAATTTAAGCCAAGTATTTCAAGTGTAGTATGAGGTTGATTCATCCTATCCAGATGTTACGTATTACTTTCTTATTAGGTGGTGCCACCTAATAAGTGAATTTTAAGTGATCGATCAAGAACAAAGACACTATTATTACATGTAAGAAGCATAAGGAAAATATCCCTTCCAAGTACATATGTTCAGTTCCTGTGGCTTCTTTATTGTTCCTACAAAGTTAAGCTCCAAAGTGGGCATATTTAAATGGTAAATAGAGACTTACTAGAGGAAGAGAAGTATGATTAATCAACTGTATCCTACTGAGAAGCTATTCACAATCTAAAACTTTGCCTATGGAACTGTGGTTAAACTAAGGCCAAACTTTGACATTTGTATCTCTGTGCCTATTACAGAAGAAAATTCTTCACCTACTTCCTCACCATATTTGGAGGGATGACCATAGCTGTCCATTTAAAAGAGGTGTATAAGTGAATCATTCTCTGATTTTTTCAATGCAAGATCCAGACAGTAAATTCTTGGTTAAAGTAATAAAAAGTAACATTTACGTTTATAGAGCTGGGTAATTTTCTAATTGCATTGATTACATTATTTTTCCATATTCTAAACACCTCTATAGAAGCAATGAGATAAACATTGTTGTACCAAGTTTCTAGTCAAGGAAGCTGAAGCTCAGTGAGACAAGATCATGGCCAGGAACATTTGGAACAGCATGGGATATTAATTAGTATCTAGTTTGTCTAACTTCTTTTTCACACATACACATTTACATGTACACACACGCATTATGTGTATGTGTGTGTATAGGTATATATGGGAAGGAGTTAGGCAATACTCATACATCTATGTGTTTCTATATATATTTATATAATTTTCAGTCATATGTACATATAATTAAAATAAATTATACCTTACTACTTCTTACAAAACGATTCTTTGGTGAGTCTTAAAAAATCAACTATAATAATAAATTCTGCTTCACATTTTTTTCAAAGTCATTAACACTAAGAGAGTTTCACGTACACGTACTTCACTTTCTGACATTGATTATAGGGTTGAAAAAAAAACTCACAGATACATTCTGTGGATATTCAAAGGTATCAATCCTGCCAGCAGAGTTAAATATGTAATATTTGTGATATTAGGTCTAAAACAATTAGTCAATGCTCTTGTTAAAGCACTGATGAATGGAAGGATGAATGTTTGCTCATCAGAAACTTTGCTTGACTTCCTGCATACTTAGGGGAATTTATTCAAATTTAGACAATGCTCCCATTTTTGCAGTTTTCCTTACTGGGATTCTGTGGTGAAAGCATCCCCATTAAACAAGCTGATAATAATTACATTACTTGGGCAACATAATTTACTTTCCTAATTGAAAGTGACAAGTACTGGAACATAGCCAATTCTTCACATCCAAGCCTCCCAAGGATTTTCTCATCGTGAGTCATTTGACTCCATTACTTGCAGTCTCCCTCCCCCTATCTCCCCTCCTCGGCATTTCTTACCTCGCTGACATAAATGCCTGTGTCTTCTTCATCATCTGTTCGGTAACAGACTGTCAGGCCCAGCTTCTCTTGACTGCTAACACGACACAGCTCGACCTCCTGAGAGAAAAACACACACAGAACGACATTTATCTCAGAAACAAATCCCACAGCAGAATGGAGAACTCACTGATACTCCCTGGGTTGCCTTGGGAGGTTTTCATAATTACTGCCCAACATTTGAATTAGTTTATGTTACCAAAATCATCCAAATGTACCTTCAATGTCTATTTCTATATACTCAAGCCAATGTTTCAAATTTTCATTGTACAGGTGGAAAAGTGCAATTTTTTTGGTATCAAATCATAAACTTAAGGCTTAAAAATTGTACAGTGAGGTATAAAGTATGCATCAATCAGTAAGATATTTGAGACTCTCAAAGTAGGTAGAAAAATGTTCATAAAAATACTGAGAGTTACTGTGGATTTTATTTGTATTTTAATAAAACAAAACAAAGTTCAAATTAAAAAAGACTACATTGGGCTCCGTGTCAATCCTTCTCTGGAGTTCTATGCTATATGGTAATCAGCAAGTGTTTTGTGTAGTTCAGGCCAAGGCTTTCTCTTATTTTGTAGAAGCTCTAACCCTTGGAATGAAATGGGTTCATCCAGGCTGAAGGGAGAGACATCAACAGTCATATGAGCAGAAGCAATGATTCAAAATGTAGCAGTAAATGAACATGGAAACACATTTACTGAAACACATGGCTAAGGGGCTTGAAATGTCAGTCCTTAGGTAATGTATATTGAATCTATTTCCAGATTTATGTTCAGTAAAATAATAATAAATTTCAGTGTATTTCATTTTTATATAATGAAATAGACTTGTATTACTTTCAGAAACAGATGACTTTAGGACAAATCACATAATTCCCAGCACTAAAAGATAAATTAGTGTTCTCATCATGGAGAACTTGCTCCTATTGGATGAAGAATATAAGGCCCTTTGATAAATAATCAGATGAGATAAAAAAAAAAAAAAGAAAATGGAAATGGAAAGAGAAGTCTGCATCAGGGTTCTGGAACTCGGGCTCTATGGGAGTTGCAAATTTGTCTGCCTTGCTTAGTGCTGTTTCTCCAGGTCCTAGAACAGGGAAAGGCATAGTGTGGGCACTCAGCAAATCCAGGCTGAAGGGTGGCTGCTTTTATTTCAAATCTTTCCTGGTGTTTGTAACTTTCTGTAAAACAATAATTAAGCAGTCTTTCCTCTTTAATGGGAGACAGATTTCGTGTGTATGTGTGTGTATACATGCATGTGTGAATGAAAAGAAGATTAGGAAGTTTGATTATAATAAGCATCCATTTAACCATGTACTATCTGAAATAGCTACCAGGACTAAATAAAGAAAAGCTCACTTAACTTCAGACAAGGGGATATTTTCCCGAGTACTCTGTTGCATTTGAAGAAGGAGCCTCCCTTTCAATTTTGTATCTTCGGGCAGGCCTTGTCATTGGAAAATAACCATTTATTTTAATGACATGCTATAAACCATAGGAAAATCCTTAGCAAGGGTAGACTATCATAAGCTCTAGTGACCAATAATTTCACAGCTGATAGCAGATAAAACAACATTAGGTCCTCTGTCCTGAGATATGTACTATAAATTGGCAAACTCCATGAAACTATGAAGAATGACTTTGTAACTGGCTGGCAAAGATTCTCTAAATTCCACCACAGTGGTTAAAAAGGGCATGCTAAACAGTAAGGGAAAAAGGGAGAAAAGTCCTTTCACCTTGAGGAAGAATAGGAAACAGTGGTGTGATCTGGCACCAGAAGTAAAAAAAGTACATACCCAGCAAGAGTATTCTCAAAACTGGCAATCATTAATGCCTCCAGAGGGGGGAAAATACTTGACTGAAACCGTTACATTAGGAAGAAATTGCAGCAACAAAAGAGCTTCAATTACAGCAATGCACTATACAGTTAAGGAGGAGAGAAGCTTATGATTCCTAAGAGGCCTACAAGGAAACCTAAACACTCCATAAAGAACTGAGATTGGTACCTTTAAATTAAAGCAAATGAGGAGCTGTAGTCAAAGCTGTGCCCTGACTTTCAGCGTCCTTCTGATAGCAGGGCAGAAAGACCCTGTGCTGCAGGAAGACACTTCCAGAGGGAGTCTTGCTTTTTAAGTGTTTTCTCGACATTCTCAAGGCTGCAGTATGGTTCTGGGGTTTGTTTAGGAGACACATGCTGAAATATTCTGCAATAAAATGGAACCAGTCTGTGAAGACAGGGCAGAACCTACCCATAAGGCTTCAATACTGCAAATCAAAGCACCTACTCGAGAATCGCAACAGAAAGACAAAGATCCTGAGGTCAATGTAATTTTTTCAATATTGTCATCCTACTGGACCTCAGCAAAACTGTAGAATAGGTCTCAAAATTATCTATGACATCTTTGTTTTTAATATCCTACATTTAAGACACTCAACACCCTCATATTTCCTTCTAACTGTCTGGAGTTGCTAGAGATCTGCCTGTCTAGGCAGCCAGTGGATTTCAGGCTTGTCATCTTACCTATCTCCTAGCAAAGGGGGGCATTCAATGTTACCTTCTATTTCCTCACACAATTAGCTCTTAGTACATAAATAAAAGTGATGAATATTTCTTAAAGAGATCATCATTAGTAATTATTTTTTTAGGTTTATAATTTTACTTCTAATACAGTTAACATACAGTATTCTATTAGTTTTGGGTGTGCAACACAGTAACCCAACACTTGTACAGTACTCGGTCCTCATGCTGGTAAGTGTTGTCTTAATCCTCATCACCTATTACACCCATCCCGCCCCCCCCACCTCCCCTTCCATAACCATCTGTTCATTTTTTATAGTTAAGAGTCTGATAAACCATGAAACACTGTGGACTCTGAGAAACAAACTGAGGGTTTTGGAGGGGAGGGGATTGGGGGGTTGGGTAAGCCTGGTGGTGGGTATTATGGAGGGCACGTACTGCATGGAGCACTGGATGTGGTGCATAAACAATGAATTTTGGAACACTGAAAATAAAATAAAATAAAATGGAAAAAGAGAGTCCGTTTCTCAGATTAATAATTATTTTAAATGTTGCCCACTTAGGATTTGGTTCATATTAATAAAGACTAAAAATATAAAGCCTTAACTCAAAGGACCAAACTTGAGGTGGTAGGATTTCAGGCTCTGAGGAAGATTTGAGTGAGATTTCCTGGATCCCACAAACCACCCAATACTAGTGCCAAGTGTAGATCTGCCATTCTTTCTTCAGTTGAGAATGCTTTAGACACTGAATATTTTACATTAGTATACAGAAGCACACATTTTAGAATCAAAGTTCCTTTAATTCTATGATAAAATAACTTCTAAGCATCTACCTGTAGAGCATTTTGTTTGTATGAGGCAAAGGTGGCTTTGTAAAGCCTGATTATCTGAAAGAAAGTCACTAGTACAGGTTTAATTTAGTATTCCCTTCACAAAGCACACAAGCCTCTGACTTCTGAAGAAACAACCTCCTGGTAATAGCGAATGTTTTCCCTAACAACTTTCATACCTTTCCCTCTGTCACTAGGAAGCTGTTTGATGAAAAACATAAAAGTGAAATGTTACCTCTGTACATTTTTTCCACAGAGACAATTCACAGGCCTGTACGAATCAAAGCCAAGCATGCATGATGGCGCCACTAACCATCCTTAAGTCATCTGTGACTGGACTGAAAGAAGCACTTCATATACCTGGTAAGACTATATTTGTTTGGTTTAAATGTGCGTTAAGATGCTATGTTCTGGGAACATGTAAAGTTTAAAAAATAAAATCATAGTGCCTAATCTTGTGAGAAATTGGCTGCATGGAGATTGAGGGTGGAGGAGAGGGTTAAAGTTAGTTAGTAAAGCTTCCTGTGAAACATCTTTCCAGTCATAGAAAGAATGGGATCTATCCATAAGTCAGTTGCCCTACAGTACTGTGAAATTTTTATATATTTTATGATTTGATCTAAGGAGGAACAGGGAATTAAAAAAAAAAAAACACTTTTGCTTTCTAGATAGGACTCTGTTGCTAAAGGAAGAACTTAGGCTTAAAAGTGTCTACAATGGCTTTTTAGGCAAATTGTTTCCAAACCCTAGAGAGCTCGGAGACCCAGGCCATGAAGAGAAAATTCAGAGGCAGGCAGTACCACAAACGCCCGAAGATAACCCAGGGCCAGACAGGATGGTCACCGATGTCAACTGACAATCATGGGAGACAGGGGTCTCTTATGTCCATATCATCCTTTTCTTTTATTTGTGTTCCTGATTTACATTTATCAGACAATAGATGCACTACTATACAAGCTTAGTATTAATCATATATCATTATCTTACATTTTGTAATGTTGATTAGTAACTATCAGAATGCCATGCTCAGTTGTTCTAACAAAACATTTATTAAAAAAAAAAAAAAAAGAATTAGTGGGAAGTACAAAAACTTTAACTCCCACAGCTAAGGGAAGCTAGGTAGTCAACTGTGAAAATATTGCTTCAATATCATTATTTCCTCAATAATGAAAACCAGGAATAATACTTAGTAAGAAAGAAATAACAAAATCCCGGAATACCCATATCACTAGGACAGCATCAGGCTCACACACTCCCATCTCCAAATACCCATAAAAAGCTGCTGCACCTCGTAACTAAATCATGTTTCTGTAGAGACAGTAGGGTAAAAGCAAGAACAGATGGTCATGTCTTTCCACTAACATCCTTAACCTCAGTTCCTTACTCGACTTTTTCTTTCTTAATGATATTGTTGTGGAACGCAGGCAGCTCTTTTTTTTTTTTAAGGTTTTATTTATTTATTTGAGAAAGAGACAATGAGAGAGAGCATGAGCGAGGAGAATGTCAGAGGGAGACACAGACTCCCCGTGGACCTGGGAGCCCGATGTGGGACTCGATCTGGGAATTCTGGGATCATGACCTGAGCCGAAGGCAGTCGTCCAACGAACTGAGCCACCCAGGTGTCCTGCAGGCAGCTTTTAATACCTCAGTTTTCTCCTCTTAGGAACTCCCTAGATTCTTTGGGAACTAAAGAATTCACAATTTTCTATGCCCA